GGGTAGCTTAGTGGTTAGAGCAGTCGCCCGGATTGCGAATAGTCATGGGTTTGAGTCCCATCTCAGAGTGTCAGGAACAAAGTAGATTTTTTAAGCGTTTTTCATTAAGAATATTTATCCTGTAAATTTATATATGTACGAACATGTATGGTATTTACCCTAGGGTAAATATTAAGAAAAAATATTTAATCCAACAAAAAAAATAAGTGTCAGTTTAGTGTCTCATTAAAATTGAAAAATGTGGTAGTTTAAACATTTTGTTAGCGGCTTTTAAGTGACTCTTTTTTAATTGGGAATGTGGTTTGTCGTCACCGAGCCCGGCTTTGGACCTTTTTGAATTCCTGCGGTGTACTTCCCGCGACTTCAAACAAATTAGCCAGCTAATTTGTTAACTCGATATTTTGTTACGGTGCCTCATATTTTGTTATTTTTATGGTTCTAATTAGGTAAAGTTTCGCATAAATAGGATGCGTGTTAAAATGTACGAGTTTCAAACTTTAACTTTACGTGAAAATAGAAAATTGTTAGTGGGCAAATTTAAAAATTAAATTCATAGATGATATTTTGAAATAGTTTCACAGACTTTGTTTAAAGTAATAATTTTAAAATTGTTAACGCATGAAAGTTTAGTTCCAAAATTAAATCTGACCATGAAAAAATCACAAAACTTAAAATATTCTTGTCTTATATACAAAACCGATTTATTCTTGTCTTATATACAAACACATTTTTGGTATAAGCGTCCTCTAAAGTACGATACGGTGACCGGTGCACTCATTATCTATACTATGAGTAGTATATAAAGCGGAAGTGTCTAACTTTGTTTGTTTGTAGGAGACAATCATCGGAAATACTGATACGGTTATGAAATATCTTTCACTTACGGGAAGCTGCATCATATGCGGATTACATAGACTATAAAAACAGCTAGTATGGTTAACCAGCGGGCGATGAAGATGCTTGTATTGATATCTCTATTGTAGTATTATGGTATTTAGTATATCATTCACTTTTCTGTTTATCGGCTGTTAGTTTGCTTAACAATAAGTAAGTTAGAAGCAACCAGATGAACATATATAGATACCGATCAAAATCATAACAGTCCTTTTTGCTGTGCTACGTTAAAATAGAGGAAAATTTCACAATATAGTAAAAATACAATTAAGCTATAGAATGAGAACAGAAAGTTTGCCAACAAAGCAAAATTCACAATTCAATAAGGAATCAAAATACACAGAGCAAGTTGAAAATCACAATCAGATTTTAATTATGCGCCATATTTCTAAATAAAAGGCCTCAGCACTCAAAATAATGTCTATATTGTTCAATGACACTTCAAGTATCTCCAAGCAGCAGTTACGGGTGGTTTATATTGTTTTGTTTGAAGACTTCGCAATGTCAACAGATCCGTTATTGTGTATTCTCTGAGAGGTAATCCTAGATTTTGATATAACGACACGGCTTTCCATTTAGCAGAATTGTGTTACATTAAAATAGCCCTGGCGCAGATTATCTTTCTAGTCACGTTCTGAACACAGTTATCCCAATTTTAATTTTCACTGACGACTCAAAACTAGCTTAATAAATGTACTCAATCGATAGGTACATAATTCGTCCTGAGCTAACGGAATCCAATAATTCCCTTTTGAATATTCTATGGCTCATCCAGCAAAAAGCTAATCCGCTGAATAATAGGGTTATAGATATCGTTGTTGGCACAGGCGTGCCGGAAAAATATGCTGATTGTTTGCTGCCGTATGAGCTGACGGCAATGACGTCATTGAAACGATAAATATCTGCTTTATTAGTGTTTAATTGCTTTCGGGGTGCTTTGAACTCCATCAGATAACATTGACAATACTCAACAATGGGGAAGATTCGTTTTACCTCGAACAATTGTGTGTCAATCGAATGTTTTGTCAGTGTCGGTTATGAATTTGTCAACATGATAATTCACTAATATGAAATCGTATTACTTAAATGGATTATTATGATTAGTTTATTTAAGTAAAACGATTTTATATCAGTGATTTGTACTGAATGTCATATGAATATGTTATTTATCACCAGCTTATAAATGTTCCCCCTTCTGGGCCTTAGGCTTTCCCCAAGATGCAGGCTAAAGAAAGCTCTATCGTCAAGGTATACACTACTATAACAAAATTCCTATGCAAATTTTAAATTAACCATTGACTAAGTTTAAAAACCCATATTAAGAATTGTCTACTCAGTAAAGGATATTATACTGTTAATGAATATTTAAACGACAAAACTACTTGGTGTTAAATATGGCTCATTTTTCATGTATATTAAATTGTTTATCGGTGAGCTTCTTTGACTACACATGTGATTCGATTGACGAAAATACTGTTTTACTTTTATATTTTGTAATATTGTAATGGAAAGTGATTTCATATTTTAATGAAGTCATTTTTCAATCTTGACGCTCTGTATGAAATAAACAAGGAGAAAAAAGTAGCCTTTGTCAAGTTTCTTGCCGGTTCTTCTCGGTACAAGGTCTCCCGCCGTAAATTTACGAAACGATGGCGTAGCTCTCGACTTTCACAAGTGCTTGTAACAGCCTAGACTGAATAAATATATATATTTTTTTTTATGGAATTGAAGCGAATTGAATGGGGAGAATGGGCTATGATCCACTACGCGGGCCCAGTGCGGATGGTGGTTTTTTTTTTATTTATTTATTTACAATGGGCTCACTCTTGACCTCAATCTAGCCTCAAGACGTAGATGAGATCTACGGTGGGACGAGCTTGCCAAGAAGCAACCTATTCACTCTTGCCTTAAATAGGTCTGGGTTCTATGCACTCGGGAATTTAGACGCCGGCAGGGAGTTCCACTCCTTGGCAGTGCGCAGTAAAAAAGAAGAAGAAAAGCTCTTTGTATCTTGGGATATCAAGCAAGTGAGGATGGTATCCCGCCGTGCGTCTAGATTGCCGATAGTAAAATGGGCTGAATGAGCTCATGCAACTCCCGAGCACACTCCCCGTAGTACATCCTATAAAAATCGGATAGGCAGGCGACATTGCGGCGATGGCTCAAGCTGTGCAGCTTGTTAACTATTTTTATGTCGCCGATGAGTCTCTTAGCTCTGCGTTCGTGGGTGTTAACGACTGCAGATGCAGACGGGACCAACGGCTTAACGTGCGTTCCGAGGCTCGGAGGGTCTCGAGATAATGAATTTTCGGTCACCCATCCTAGGACCTACGAAAGTTGCTTAACATACGTATCGTGGACCGATTGCGCTAACCATTGCATCATCGAGTTCCTAAGCATGTTATTTCCTATGATTATTTATAAAGTAAAGTTTTTACCCGCGTTATCTTTTAGAACTTGTGATAAAACTTTTAAGGGTTATTAATTCCTTATATGCGAACTATCTCGAAAAACTAACAAACATTCATAACTCTTTGAGGAATCATAAGAGGGTAAAATAAGCTATAATTTATGCATGCAAAGTCAAAGGAAAACAACTAGTTGAGTTAAGTCACGGTTACGTTATTTTTTCTCGCTGATGAAAATGATTAATAGATTTTTTTATATGTTTTATTCTTTATGGGAATAGCTCTCTCTGTTTACAATAGTTTTCCGATTCGCTCATATCTTACTAATATTTATTAAATAAAATTTTATTTTTCCTGTTTCTTAGCTTGTCCCTTGTAAATATTTGAAACTCCAACTTTTAAGGCTAAGCACGCAGTGGTGACTTCTTGTCTCCTGTCTCTGTGTTCGAGAATATTTGCGGTAGCGCGCGCACTCGAACACGTGATATTTAAGGTGAACGTCCATATTGACCTCACGCACGCACCGGCCGCACGACACGCATTGCGTCAACTTTGAACTTAATATCCACATGTTAAGGTTTAAAATCGCTTGAAGAAAAATGATTTTTTATAAATAAGTAACGTGGTAACGACTGTAGATAATAATAAAAATCTTATACATTAAAAAAATTGGGAACAAATAAATATTTTTTTTTTTAATAAATTTTATTATTCGTAATTTGTTGTATTTTATAATAAATCCGTCAATCACATATTGTATTACAGCGATAACGAAACTTTTAATTCTGATTTATATTTATGAACTTTTTTGTTATAAAATTGTTTCTCAGTCAATGTTTATGAGCAACAAAGTTCTCTAATAAATTACTCAAGGGGCTTTAATTGTTGGAAGTTCTAAGATTATATAAATTTATAGGAATGTAATCATGAAATATTTTTAATTAAGAATGGCACAATAATATGTATATTCAAAATATAAATATATTTTTCACATTAAAAGTGTGATAAAGTTATTGACATCCAAATTCTGTTACAGTTTTGAGATAATACAATTTGATTACAACAATAAAATATTATAGCTACAAGATACTAAAACCAATCAATATTTCACAATTATTTATGTGGTTTAATTATTTATTTCAGTAATATATAATTATCAGCAACATAATTAATATTATTAGATACGTATTAAACTTAATACCTTTGTAATAAAACACTCGATGTTAAATGAGTTCATTTGTATATCTGGCCTAGGTACTTATATTGTGTAAATTGCTATAAAAAATACACACATGAATACATTCTATACTACAATATAAGCTGCGAAGAGTATTATAAGTAGTGGTCTGCTAAACCTCTCTCTTTTTCCTTGTGTATAGCGGTGCATGGGTACTTGGGGAGTGTTTACAAACTCTTGTATCTCGCGTTGTCGCAAACTTTGTGTAAAATAGATTCTGAACTTACCAGGCGACAACAATACATAGAAAACACATTAGGACACAAGTTATCTAAATGCATTGTTGTCGTTTGCATAGTAAAGTTTAAAAAGACTGACAAAGAAGCAGGAAAATTATCTGTTGAACTTCGTTAGCATTTCATTATTTAATTTCCGCTAAAGTAAATTTACTTTCAGAACGAAACGGTATTTCTATTTGTACAAATAAGCCAAGAAGTTTCTTATTACATGTATTAACTTACCATCTGAAGATGTTACTGCATGCCTTACAATTAATAATAACAAAACAAATAGTCCCCTCGTGGATCGCGATATCAATCTACGACCGTTCATGGTTTTATAATTACTTTAACCCAATGACATCGTAATAAACTTTTACAAATATTGGAAATGTGTTGTCATGATTATCGATGAGGCAACGGAGTTCGCTCATTCATTCACCCGGTCGGAACAGGTGTGATTAAATATTCATCGGGCAATTGTGAATTGAGCGGGTGATCGAGATCGTGCAAGCGGTCGAGCGGTGAGCGATGCGAGCGAGCGTTACAATCGCTGCGTGCTCGTAGCGCGCCGGCTGCGTACTGGCCGCGCTCGCAGGCCGCCGCTTTGTTGCCGTCGCTGGCCGCTCGCGGCGCTTGCGTAGCCCCGCCTCGCGGATGAAAGGACGGAACATTACCAGTATTTGTAACAGTTTGCGTCAAATTGATATAAATGGAGACGGTTTTAATAAAGTGTAATTGACTTTTGCCGACTTTGCGTCGCATTAATTTCGACCACGTTAAGACGCCTGGGGCAGGTGTGCCGCTAAACATCAGAAAGATCATTTCTTGCTATGAATAATATTAAAATTTAATTAATAATAAAGCAGGATTACTTTATGGATCTATTTTGAAAGATATTCTTAAAGAAATATATATTTGATTCAATATCACTTAATAAAAGTTACATTTTAAGTTAAATTATACTCAGGATTTTTTAATGTTTTACATAAATTTTTATTTTAGAAATTGCAACTATAAGACAATGTATTTAAACCGTCGAATAGGTATAGACATTGTCAAATTTCAGTATCAGTTATTTCGGATTCCTTTCGGCTTAATCTATAGATAAAACCCAATTTCATTTTACAATCTTCAATGGTAAGTATTTAAAGTAACTGCCGTAACTAAGATGAGAGATAGATACACACTTCATTGAACACATAAAATAGCAATTAAGCTAAGCTAACATTAAATAACTGTTTTTTTATTATTTATGGAGTAAGCCTTTTTAGTATAAAATCTTTGCAATAGCCACAGTAAAAGTACGTAATATTTTTAACGTAACTTTGTTAAAAGTCGAGATTAGATTGAATACAAGCACGGTTCGGGATTTTAATTTTGATCTTATATAAAAGTACTATTTTCCATTATGGAAATGTATAACGAATAAGTTGAAATATAAAGATGTAAATAGATATATCTTCAATGAAAACTGCTTAAAAAATCCACCAGCCATAGGGGAGCAACCGTCTAACTTTCTAGCCATAGGATACGATATCTTACAGATGTTATGCCGATAATTTTTTTCCTTACTTTAACATGTACTTTATTAACGACGAAGAAATGATAAAGAATGATCATTATGGATTTGACAGCAGTGTTACGAAATTAGTAATTTATCGCAAATTTATCCACCAAAAGACATAACAAAGAAGTAATATGAAAAGATATCGGCAACATCGATAAGATGTCGTTAGTATCCTATGGCTAGAAACATGGCTAGAAATTTCGGCAGTCGCAACCCAGGGAATATAATTACATATAACATTACATCATATAAAATATTAATATCATTACAGATATTTATTAGTATAGCATTGTGAATGCAAAAAAGTAGTAGAAGCTGAATGGCGTAATGATTAGTGCGCTTTGCAATGGCTATGGGATGGTTGACAAAAAAAATTGTATCTCGAATACCTCCGTGCTTCGGAAAGCACGATAAGCCAGTCCCGGTTGCATTTGGAGTCGTCAACACTCACCAATCCATATTGTGCACTCGCGGTGGGTCATGGCCCACTATTCGATTTGAATCGATTCCACACATGGGGAAGGCCTGAGCCCCAGCAGTGGAGTCCCAACATTGATAGGCTGATGTAATACTTTTAAAAAGTAGTCTTTTAATATCCCTATGAATGGGAAAGCCTGAGCTCCAGTAGTTGAGATATTAATAGATTTTTAATAATTATGAAATAGTAGTTTATTTAAATACCAAATTCTCTTTAGGAGAATATTATTCAAACGTGAACTTGACTCAGTGTCAGTATTATTTCACTCGACTCTATTAAATTCAATAAGCGATGTTAATTTAATTATAATCATGTTGATATGCAAATATGCTCAGTATATTCACATAACATTTCAAAGGGAAACCCAACAGCCGTTTCCTTTAAAGACAAATAAGATTAAATAACAGAATATTTCTCGTTTAGATTAGAAAGGCTTTATTATTCTTTGAATCAGAAAAATATACTTCGGTGTGAGATGTCGATTTGATAACTTTGTCATGTATAATATTAAGAGTTTTCTTTGAAAGAAATTCCTCGTCATTGAAATTGATATGTAGCGTGTTTGAAAAAATAAAATTAATATGCTTTATCTAATTTGTAATATGTTTAAAATAACTATCGACTCATCATAATTATTCATTATTACCAGCCTTTTTACATCCCCCATTGCAGGGACTCTGCCTTTCCTTATGGTTGATTAAGGAGGATAACCCTCCATACTGTCCCAATGCGGATTGGAGGATGTTAAAAACTGCAACCAACTGTGCCTTCTGAAGCACGGAATGGCTTGAGATATTTTTTTTTCTCAGCAACCTCGGGACCAACCCCTGCAGAAGTTGCTTAGCAACAAGGATTTCCGGCTGCAGCACTTATCCACTACGCCACTGAGCTAATATACTATTATCGACTGTAATTGATCAATTTTGCATTACTGACGACTTCCGTAGCCGAATGGTTCGTACATTGGTTTCTAGATGTCGCAATCTCTGATGTCCCTGGTACGATTCGCGCTCGGGTCAATGTAGAAAATGAACTTGTCTATATCTCTGGTTCAGGTATTGTTAGACCTTTCGTTGTCTCAAATATTTCATAATGGCTTGAGCCACTTATCTTGGAATACGAGCAATGTTTGTGATGTCGTCTAAATTTATTGAAGTTATCAATGTTTTATTGTTATTTATATTAAAGAGAAATGTTTAAAATAGACAAATAACTATACATTACGATAATTATTAAAATAATGATTTGTTGATGTTTGAAGTTTTTTAACTTTAATAAATTCCTAGCTATTTGTTTTGATCAGTATATTCGAAAGTTCAACAACTTCAAGATTTGAAAATTCAAAATTTGATTTGTAAAAATTGTTACTAATTGTTCTAATGAGGAGCTTTATGGCGCATTGGTTTTTGTGCTCAGTATTCAATGCTTTAGTTGAGTATTGATTTGGTACTCAAATGTTGGTCACCAATCTTATGACTTGCAGGTGACCTACATTTTTATCTCGAGCTTCTCCGTGCTTCGCAAGCCATTGGTCCCGGTTGCATCTGCCAATTTGTAATTAGTCAACGTGATGAATCATCACTATGACATCGCCTCAAGATTTTCAAATACCTATTTAACTCTTTAAGACGTGTATTCACATTGCAAGGCTGCTCGTTTGAGAAGTAGTTGAACGTTATCATTTAATTTGAGTCTACCTACAGACACGTGTCATCGCGACACTGTTCATTTGAGCAGTACGCTTCGCGCTCAATTTACACCTACACAATGAAAACGATCCAACGTTTGAGAAGCGTCTTTTGTTTCATTTCATGAAAGTCCGAGGCAACATGCATTCGTATTCATCGCCATACCCGATAGCGAGCTGTTCACCATCGCTTGTACTCAACGTCTAATCGGCTCACAATGTGGATCTTTTGGTGTATCAAATTTCAGCCCGATCCATCCACTATTTTGAGATTTGCCTTTATAGATCAGTCAGCCGCATTAGTCTTCTATAGATACTTCCTAGTGACGGTGAACCTGCTAGTGAGTGTAATCAACACAAAGTTTTTAGGTAAGGCACGGTCAAATATATGATTTGGAAGGAACGACTTTTGAGGATCAATTATTTTTAATGAATTTTCGGCTTTTGTAGTCAATATTTTTTATGAATATTTCATATTCCAAATGGTTTTCAACATTAAAATGTATTTCAAATAATTCTTGTTCATTGATAAAATGTGTCGTCGAAGTATACTTTTATTTGGTAGAATGTATCCAGTTATTTTTTATTAACAAAACTGCTAATTCGATTCCAATATTTTTCTATGGGACCACCTCAAGCTCCACCGGCACCCCACCCCACAAGCTTTGGAATAAAAAAGAAACAAATAGGTCCTCAATTCATGGAGTTGAAAGTAGAACCTCCTCCTATTCGATTTTGAAGTTGAAGTTGTTTAAAAAAGGAACAATATGGTAGATGGGCGTTAGAGCTTAACGATTAGTGTTAACTTTAATTTTGTTTGGCTTTAGTGATTTGTAATAAAATGTTTTCTATGGCTTCAGTACACCTCCAATTTAGTTCCGGGTTTACACATGCGACTCGGCTAAAGTAATTTATTAATTATAAAGTAAATAAAGTTTTAACATATTATCATAATAATGCGAGATTAAACTATTTATTTTACTGATTGGGTTAAAACATGGATTTCTAGAAAATATGGTTTTGTACCGCAACGGGACATTCCTTGTAAGATGATTAGGTTGTTTTTAGCCAGTTTAGCTCATTTAGCCAACAAAAAAAATAAAGACCAAGCACAGCTGGCGTCATGTACTGTGTCCGAAGACGAACTAAGGATTTGGATTTGCACGAAACCTCCATTCCCACTTGTTTAAAATTGTCGAAGAATTATTAACTGGGCGGACATTTACTCGTTGGACAAAACATTACCAACATGACCCTACAGGAAAGTTTATTATTTATAAGTACGGGACCTTTGTGAGTCTGGCCTGCACTTGACTTCGGTGTGCGAGTCTCGCTCGCAATTTAACATGACACTTGAGGGCCTATTCCATTAACGAAAAATTTCGAATCGTCTTTATAATTTTGTCAAATTCATCAAATTTTTTGTCAAATTTTGTCAAATCATATTCGTGTAGGTTATCAGTGCATAAGAGGCAGTGTCAAGTCGTACCTCTGTTGCATCATAAATGTGTTTCTTTAGATTACATAGGGGAAATTTCGTTCTCGGAGGAATAGAATAAGCCATCAGGTATAGTGTTAATTCGTACAAGTAGCAGATAGTTTTTTATTCTGTAGTATTTCAATGCTGTCACAGTCGTATAGTCACAATATAGAGGTCCAATCAAATAAAACCAACTAACACGGGTATTATTTTATGAGACGAGTTATTAAATTTCCGATTCTTATACTTTGAATACGCACCTCACTATTATATTTATTTTGGCGAATAAATAGGGCTGAGCAACGATAAATGCGCGCAGAAGGCGGGTTGGTTATATAGGGGTTCCACACTGACTAAGCTTCGGCAAGG